ATTATTTTTTAATCAAGGATTTGATCATGGGAAACATGGTGGCACAGTTGGTAGAGCTGCCACCTCTTAGCAAGCATGTCGCCCTGGTTCAATTCCTGGCCGGGGGCCATTCTGGGTGGAGTTTGCATGTTCTCTCCATGCTGCGTGAGTTTTCTCCAGGTACTCCGGTTTCCTTCCACAGACCAAAACAAGCGTTAGTCTGACTGGTAACTCTAAAGTATCCCTAGTGTGAGTGAGAGAGTGAATGGTTGTTTGTCTCTATGTGTCCCTGTGATGGACTGGAGACCTGTCCAGGGTGTCTCCCACCTGTCACACAGTGACTGATGGACATGGGCACCAGTAACCCTCGCGACCCGAAAAAAAAGAAGTGGATAAAGATGATGGATGGATGGATGGATGGATGGATAGATTTGATCATCTTACATCATGTGAAAAACACTTTGATGTTAGTGCTGTGTTTTAGCTGGTTAGTAATGTAACTTGACAGGATCCTATAATAATCATGAGATTTTTGGAAAAGCTAACATGTTGTCACAATTTGTGTAAGCTATTTTGATTTAGTAAAATTTCTGCAATTAACTGAATGAGTTGGTGGAAATAAATAAAATGAAAAAGGATATGAAACAATATTTTCTTGAATGATTTCACACTAAGCTTATATTCTTGTTTTTCTTTGTGTAAAGACTGATAAAAGTCAACTTTTAAGCTCAGCCACTGAATGCGCTCTGCACTGGGCGCCTCCCTAGGAAGGTTTTTCGGGCATGTCTAACTGGGAGGAGACCCCAGGAAGACCCAGGACACGCTGGAGAGATTATGTCTCTTGATTGGCCTGGGAACACTTTGGAATCCTCCCAGAAGACCTGGAAGAGGTGGCTGTAGAAAGAGATGTCTGGGCCTCCCTGCTCAAGCTGCTGCCCCCGTGACCTGACTTCGGTATAAGCGGAAGATAATGGACGGATGGATGGATGTCTTTATGTACATGTATTTCATGCTTACAAGGTCTGTGCTGTTGGACTAGCAATTATTCTGGTCAGTGCAAGCACAGAACTGTAAATGGGTCTTTTCAGTTGGGTGTTCTTAAAAAGAAATATGATTCACTGTTCTCGATAAAGCATCACCTCAGCCCTCTGATACAGTTTATAATAACTCTAAATATACCCAGAAGTTTTATTGTGGAGGGGATGTATTGTTCAATTAAGTTGTGCCATATTGTGATCTGTATACCAGAAATATCTCCCCAAGCTGTTCCATGAAAATAATTTATTTTCCTACACATCTCAAAACTTTTTCATCTTTTGTGGACATACGATATTTGAACTGGATGAAAACAACTACAGTCCATCTACAGTGTCAAACCTTTCATGTAATCCTCTCTGTGGTAACAAGTCTGACCTGTGCTGGTACAAGTGTTCCCACAATGCTGTATCAGTAGCCAAGTATCACTAACCCACTTCCAGAGCAAGCAGCACCGTAGGCATCCAGCAGAGCAATGGCTATTCAAAACACACACATGCTCAACCTTCTTTTGCACATTTCTCCAGCGTATATATGCCGCAGAATTCTTTCATCATGTTCATCATGTTGTTCAGGTCCAAAGGAATGGAAAGAAAAGAGGGAATGGATGGAGAGATGGAGAAAGGGAAGGAAAACAAGCTTTGAATACAAATGAGCTGACACACATAATGTGCACCCTCCCTTCCTCCCCGTCGCCCTGCTCTCAATCACTGTCTCTCTCACACACTTTCTTCCCTCACATATTCTTGCACTCTTTCCCTCTGCTCACTGTCCTCTCGATGGATCGATGGCGCTCAGGAGGTGATTTCAGCCACTTGATTTATTAGTCATTGCTGGTTGTTGGAACAAGGTTATTAAAAGGAGGCTAAGCGCATAGACCGTTTGGCGACAGAATCACTGCGCTTCTGCCTCTGTGACCGCTCTCTCACGCTTCACTTTGGATCAGGAGGAGGCTGAGGAGAGGAAGGAAGAGCAGGATAAACAAATAAGGGACAGACTGCTAGGTGGAAAGACAATTTCATTCCACTTTATCATCTTTTGTTCTGCCACGGCCAGCATGTAAAAATCTGGTGTTGCGGTAACCAACAGCTTGGCTAAAGGGTATCCAAGGTAAGGAAACAGAGAATACTGAATCATAATAGATTTTTCTCTTTTCTTTTCTTTTTCTTTTTTACCCATAATAGGATATATTCTGCACCATGGGTGCTGTGGGAGAACTCATTTTTTTAAGTTACTGTTTTGCATTTTTCTACCCATGAAGGATTTGCTGTCACGACATAAAGGATCTTAATTTTTCCCAAAATCTTTCCAAGTGTGCCCATCAGTGCATCCTAGGGTTGTCTCTCGGGTGTTATGTGTCATTCTGGGGTATTCCCCAAGCAGAAGTCCTAATTATCCAGCAGAGGATTAATCCTATTATAGCTTTTTATCTCAACCTTTGCTATGTTCTTTTATCAGTAAGAAATGCTTGCTTTATCCCCAGCAGAGTAAAATCTTTAGACTGTCTCACTGTAGCTCAACTTCAAAGTTAGTTAAGATTAAAAAATATATATATATTTCAAGTTCAAGTTCAAGTAGGTTTATTGCCAATTTACCACATGTGGTACATGAGGTGGAACAAACTTATGTAAACCGGGTGCCAGTAACATCCAACAATAGCAAAAATATAAAGTGTAAAAAGAAAACATTATATAAACATCTAAGATATATACTAAGATGTATACGAAATGAACGCCAAATGGTACGTTAAAAGGTCCAAGATATAAACTAAACACTAGTAATGCAAAACAATATGGCGTAACAACAGCAGCCCAAACATGAGTCTGTGTGAGCAGATGGGTATGAATGAATATGAATGAATACAGCAGCATGAAATAATTAGCAGTATGAGATCAGCAGCATGGATAATCAGCACCATGTATCACCAGTCAAAGTGCCATTACAGTGATTTTTTTTTTTCTAACAGTGATAATCATTGTTAGGGATTTATGAGTCTTACAGCTTCAGGGTGGAAGCTGTTCCTCAGTCTCATGGCTCTACACGCAATGCTCTGCAACCTTCTGCCTGAGAGGAGCGGGGCAAAAAGTGTGTGTGCTGTGTGAGTGAGGTCTTTCATGACACAGGTGGCACTCTTCCTGCATAGATATCTGTAATGGTGTGGAGGCTGACTCCAACAGTTTTCTGTGCCTTCACCACTCTCTGCAGAGCTTTCCTTTCTGCAGCTGTGCAGCCTCCATGCCACACATTGATGCTGGAGCACAGGATGCTCTCCACGGCACACCTATAGAAGGAGTTAGCTCCATCTGAAATGCACAACCATCTCCTTTGTCTTCTTCACATTGATGTAAAGGTTGCTCTTTCTGCACCAGCTCTCCAAATATTCTACCTCCTGCCTGTAGTCGGACTTCTCATTGTTTGTAATGCATCTAACCACTACTGTAGCATATGCAAACTTTACAATATGACAGCCTGGATGAGTAGGTATGCACTCATATGTGAGCAGAGTGAACAGGAGGGGGCTCAACACACATCCCTGAGAGGAGCCAGTGCTGAGGGTTATGGTGGAGGAGGAGAAGTTATGGATTCTCACATAATGTAGTCTGTTGTTTAAGAAGTCTAGAATCCAGTTGAATAGAGAGGGGCTTAGTCCTAGTGTGAGTAGTTTGTCCATCGGGGTCTGGGGAATCATAGTGTGGAAGGCAGATGTAAAGTTCCCAAAGAGCATATGGATGTATGAGTCCTTCTGCTCCAGGTGGGTGAGAGCAGTGGGATCCACAGATGAGCTGGCGTCCTCTGTTGATCGATTCTTGTGGTATGCATACTGGTGAGGGTCCTCGCTGATGTCAATGGTATCTTTGATATGAACCATGACCAGTCTTTCGAAGCATTTACCAACTATCGAGGTGAGGGCTGCTGGCCAGTAGCCATTCAGACCATTCACAGCAGAGCTCTTAGGAACTGGGATGATGGTGGTATCTTTAGACAAATGGGAACAGTTACCAGTGTGAGGGAAGAGTTAATGATGTTGGCCAGCACCTCGCAGAGCTGATTGGCACAGTCTTTCAGCACCATCCCCAGGATGTTGTCTGGGCCAGTTGCTTTGTGAGGATTAATCCTCCTGATGGTACTCCTTACTTCTGCTGAGGTCACACTTGGAACTCCTCTTCCTGTGGTGAGGTGCGTCTGGTGCTGGGTGGTCTATTCAGGTCTTCAGTGCAAGCATAGAACCTGTTAAGAGCATCAGGCAGTGATGGGTCCCTAGGGCATTGTGTACCCCTGCTTTTATAGTCTTATGCATGTAATGCCCCTCCACATGCTCTGTGGGTCATTTGAGGAGAAATGTCCCTGGATCTTTGGTGCATATGTTGCTTTGGCCCTCTTTATACTAGTAGCCAGCTCCTTTCTTGTCCTCCCCAGTTCCTGTGAGTCACCAGACCTGAAGGAAGTAACCCTGTCGTTCAGCATGGTACGGACCTCTTCGTTCAGCCAGGGTTTGTGGTTTGGGTAGCAATTCACAATCTTGGTGGTGGTGACATCATCACTTGTGTGTGTGTGCTTATGAAACATTCATTCAACCTTTATTTAGACAGGTTAATCCCACTGAGCCTCGAGGACTCATTTACGAGAGAGACCTGATTTCAACAACATGCTTGACTAGTTTGTCTATAGAGCTCTTCCACCCATGATAAGTTGGTCATGTGTCATGTAGTTTATTTAACATTACATTAGTACATAGTTGATCATGTAGACGAAGATGAGACCATCACAACAAACAAGACTGAGTTTGAGTCACTGGTAAACTGCACCTCTCACCAAACCTCTTCTTGTGGTTGTTGTCAAACCTTATTCATACCTTGGAGTGGGACCCTGGAACCTGCTTCTGCAGTCAGGGACACATAGAGGTTGGTTTGTAAAGAAGCCAGGCCTAATCTAAAGTATGATTTAGGCAACAGGTTGACATGCTTCAAAAAAGACGATTGGTTATCAGACAATAGACCAAGAGACACGTTTACTTGATGACAGGAGAGCATGCCCCACACGAGAACCATTAGGAAAGCAATACATAGCAAAATAGATGGCTGGCAACTCGATGCTGTGCCAAAAATGTATTCTGATTCTAGAAAGTGAAAAAATATTTACTTTTGCTAATTCAGCATGGCCATGGTAAAGCCAACCATTAAATCTGACTAAACCAATCAATTGACACAAACCATCATAGGTAAACAATGGAATGGCAGGTTTTGCCAAGCATGAAACGACTACTTCACAGATTTTAGAGGAAAATTGATCACAACATCACATCACAATATACTAACAAAAGCCTAATGAAGCAGATGGCCGCTTGTCCTAAGCCTGGTTCTGCTGTACGTTTCTTCCTGCTATGAGGGAGTTTTTCCTTTCCACTGTTGCCCTGTCCTTGCTCAGGATGGGAGACTGCAATGAAATGAAGACTCAGTGTAATCTGCTGGCTACCCTACCCTAACCTATTTTGATAAATAGATTAGATTAGATAAATAATGTTACTAATTGAATTGTTATGTATATGAATGTATTTGTTCAGTGTGCTGAGATGGCTTCAATTGTAACTTGGTGTTAAATACTGAATTGAATTGAATTGAATCAATGTACAAAATGAGGGGCAAATGTATACCTCATGATCTTTTGATGCAACCTGCATGGGCTCTACAATTTTTTGAAGAAATTCTGAAATCTGACAGGTGCAGGGAAAACTTAACTTAAACAATAACAATAAAAAGCTACTAAAAATTAGATGAATTTATCTGTATATTGAGACTGACAGTATTTCTGCTGGAACTGCCTCAGACTGCACAGGGAGTGTCCAGTGTTTCCAATGTACTGCTCAGGATGAGAAACTGCAAACAGATCTTTGGACACTATCTGCTGGCTTCCTTAGATAGATAATCTTTACTAATTGTCATTTTATAATGTATGTAGATGATTCTGTACAGTGACCTGAGAAGAGTTTTGTAAATAAACTGAATTGACAGTAATGGCATAGAGCTTTAAGTGAAATTATTACAAAAAAAAATAAAATAATTCTATGAATGTTGCACAAAAATAAACAATGGTTGACTGACACTTTTCATTTCAACACTGCTGCATAATCCCAATGCTACTGCTGCATGGATGCATATTTAAGCATAAAATGGCATTAGATATGTAAGGCCAGTGCTTGGCAAGGACACACCAAGCGTGACCCAGACTATTGTGCCCATTTAGTCTTTTTGTGTGTGTATTTGTGTGCACAAATGCACTGGGATGCGTTCTGTTTGTCCTGCAGCGATGTGGAGGCCTGCAGAGGCTGTGCAGAGGACATATGGCTGCCTGGGTCTCTGCCCTTTGACCGTAGTCCTCAGATTGTTGGGGCATTCAGACGTCCTGCTAACCCTGATGCTTTGTGTGCATGTGTGTGTGTGACAGTCTACTTTGCCTTCTCTTCTGTTGCTTTTTTTGTTTTTCTCTCCACCATTTTGGTTTTAATTCTCTCATTTTTATCTTAATGGCAGCAGCAATGGTGTGGTTTCCTAAGTCTTCTTGATTGTAATTCATTTTACGTTCTTTTTTTTTTTTTATCTCAGAACTATCCTCTCTGACAGCTAGACTTGATTTAGTTTGATTGATGAATGGACTATCAGATTAGACCTCTTTTCACATGGCCCCTCACACTAACCAGATCAAATCTAGATGGGCTGTTTCTTTTCCTTCACATTGTCACTGGCATGCAAACAAAAGAATCTGGGCGTTATATTCAGAAACTTATAACTAAATGCTACAGTTTGGAGATTATTTAATAGTTTATAAACTTGCCTATCTTGTTAAAAGCTAGTGTTCTATGAATTAGATTTTTTTAACCAAATGTCACACGGTGCGTTGTGTTCATAGTGATATAAACACTATTTTGTAAACGTCTAACCTACCATCATTTTACAGTGTATGATTATTAACATACAAGTTTTATGGATAAGTAAGTGCAAATACTTTATCTGCAGCAGCAGTTAGCTGTAGAACATCCTGTGCATTCTGAAGCCGTTTCAGCAAGAAAACCATACAATCCTAGTTCCAAAATATAAAATAGGACCTTGTTTAAA